AAAAAAAAGCCGGAGATAAAAAAAAAACCGGTAACCTGGTTGCCGAGTTCACGAAGTGAATTGGCTTGTTTTACAACGTCTTTGCCAAGCGACGAAAACCCAACCCCGATGGCAAACACCGGCCTCTGGGTGGGGTCATAAAGAGCAGTGCATGTCGAGCAATTATTCAGGAACGGCGATCATCCCTATCTTGCCGTTATGGTTGATATTGGCCAACGGTGGTCGGAGCTGTCCCACCGCATTCGTTTCGCATGGAGAAAGGTATTTTTTTTGTTTTTCTGGAGGCCTCCGTTGGCGGTCGATCAATGACGCCATGCCGAATAAGCTTGCTTGATTTAGAGATGGACGTCCACACACGTATTTTGTGTTTTTTCGGTTCCACGGTTTCACGTGGCAACGACGAACGGATGCATAAGTGCCGCACCGATCTTTCTCTCTCTCTTGTCTCTCTCTGTCTCTCTCTGTCTCTCTCTCTCCCNTCTCTCTCTCTCTCTCTCTCTCTCTCTCTCTCCCCTCTCTCTGTGTGTGTGTGTTATCACAGGGATCCCAGGATGCCACCAAGCATGCTGAAGAAGCGAGCTGAAGCGCTGGTAGGTGTTGTCATGATGTTCCTGTGACGACCGTGCCTTGTTCACGTCCACGTCGCCGTCGTGTCCACATGAACGTTGAGTTGCGCGCTTTTGGTCCCGCAGTGTTGTGCCAACTTCAACTTTGCACTGCTTTTGTGTGACCAACGTGAACTGACGGTACTTTGCTCTATATCCCGGACTACCAACCAAGTCGTTGGCGGTCACGGGTTGAACTCAAGCTCAACCAGAACAAAAAAAGAACAAATCTACTCCGTTGTGGGCCGCGTCCTTTCGTCGTGATTACAATAACTATTTGATTACCATGGGCGTTGCTCGTCTCTGCCCGAGCCCGGTGTTCACACGTTTTGTTCGAGATTGCACACCCGTGTAAGTCTGGTTGACACTTGCCTGCAGCGTCACGAGTTTCCAACAGAGGTATAGGCAAGGAGGCCGGGAAATTCTGAGTGTAAACACTAGAGGTGCTCGTACGTATGAACGGTGTTGTCAAGAAGTGAACTTTTGAACAAACGAGAAACCGGTGACGCCCCCTCTCATTCAGCCATACGGGAAAAGGCTCTGCATGCTATCACATTCTCAGAGCACGTTGATTTGGGTGACTCCTGGCTGTGTGCCGCCATCACGAATGTGATGCCTCGGTTGAACGGAGAAGCGTCGTAGAGCGGTCGCTCCCCTGTGACGTTGTCGAGAAACTCACGACCCTGGCCTCCTTCTCTCCCCCACGCCGCTAGGAAGGCGCTCGCCCCTTTTGTCTCACGAGGGCGCCCTCAGAATCTAGGACCGACTGCCCCGTCCTCCCCCGCCCCCCCGCCCCCCCGCCTCAGATGCGGCTAGGTCGAATTTTCACTGCAGCGGCAAAGGGCAAGAACCCCGACTCCGGAACCTTCTACTCGGTCGAGAACGCACCTGACCCTCTCGCCTCCTCCGGAGCTGCGGGGTCTTCGCAGCCCGCATACGGCGGTGGCTACGGTGGCGGTTATGCCGGTTTCGACATTTCGAACGGTCACAACTGCGGTGGCGGCGGATATACGGCGAGGGAGGAGGGTTGGCGGGAAGGGGGGGCCACCGCGGGAGGGGGGGGGGGGGATGAGCGCCCGCCGCCACCGCCGCCGCCGCCGCCGCCGGCCTCCGGCCCTCGAGGTTACGAGGGGGAGATGCGCGTCGAGAGCGGTGAGCGTGAGGCTAGCTTTGACGGTCGCCTGTACAGCGGTAGTGGTGGTGGTTGCGGCGGTGGTGCGTCGTTCGGCGTGGAGAAAACGTTCTGCGCGTATGATGCTGATGACGACTCAACCGGGGGGGGAATGGGTAGGAGTGTCGGCCGCAGGGATGATGACGGTGGTGGCCATGAAGCGTTAGGCGGGGGTGGTTTTCGCGCTCAAGAGAGAGAAGTGGACGGGAAGGAAATATTGGAGCCATTTGCTGAGAAGCGAAGCTGGCCACCGCAGCCTCCGGATTTCCCCTGCCGCGCCCATGATGGTGGTGCCACGAGTACTTGTGTTCCTCACGGTGGTTGTGATGACGCTATTGTTGGAGGGATCACCGAGATCTCCGGGATCTCCGGGATCTCCGGCGGAAGTAGCCTCAGTGACAGTCATCAAGGGGTTCCGCGGAACATGGATGATCGGGCAAGGGATCGAGGCGACATCGGGCAGGGTCAAGGAAGGGAGACGATGTCTCGCCCTGGCGTTTTGCCAGAACGAAGCTTCTTCGGGAGACAGGGGGCGGCGGAAGACGATTGGAGAGACTCTGGTGCTGCTACTCCGTAGAAGATGTGCGTTGTTGTTTACAGGGAGAGACAGAGGGATGAGAGAAGTTTGTCGTGGTGTTGGTAGATGATTGTTGTGTCGCACCCCTTAGCGATTAGTTTAGTGCGGGGCTTAAAAGTCAGAGAGGTAATCTGTTTGCCGCCGCATGTAGCTGCTCCTGCATGGTCTGTTGGTGTTGTTGTACACAATTTGTTGTTTTTTGTGCTTTAGGTTGGATGCACTGTAGGCGTATATGTGTGGAACGGATTCCGCGGGTGGTTCTGTCGGATCGACTGCCGCTGAATGAACCGTGATGAATGCAACGAGCGGACGAATCAAAGCATGTCTCTGCATGCGGATGCTTGTCATACGGCGTTGTCGAGGCCGAGGGGTTGACACAACAAGGACATTAACAAAATATCTTTAGATTCCTTGCACCCCAGTTTGAACACAGTGTGCCCTGTCAAACCCTGACTACCTTTAGTCGAACCCTAACTGCTGTACGGCTGACGTGAGGTCAGTGCAACTTGGACACAGGTAAATGTGGTGGGTGCTACAGCAGGTTGTAGAGTTATTTTAGGTTGACATAATGCCGGAGCGTTCTAGACTACATGTAGAGGCAAGGCATGCTGTTGCGTTAGTACATGGAGACCCCACCCGATTCGGCCGAGTGGTTGCGCATTACAGATTACAACGGGAGTACCAGTTAAGCTTTTTCGTGGACAGATTCCAAGGAATGTGGATTTGCCTGTGTTGGAACATGGCACATTGTCATCTCGCTTTAGTTTACGTTTCATGGCGGCATTGAAGCGAAGCGATGCTGGACAACCATTTCCTGCCGTTGTTGAACCAGCGTGCCACCACACTATGATCTGTGACCCACTGCTGCAGCCAGTGCAACCCATCATCACCTCCGGTATGCACATTAAAGAGACCTCTCTCCTCGGCTGCATGCCTTACCCTGACCAACAACCCAGCATCAAAAATTAAGGAGAAATAAATACACGTACAGAGAGACTACCCATTCGAGATATAAATGCATCGATCGGTGCGAACAGACCGCAGAAGCACGATCCTCAAATCGTTCCGAGCCATTGATGCGGCGTATTTACAACCATCCATCCGGAGATTGACACCACAGCGAGCAATCATCGTATGCACGAGAGCAGGAAGAAGACGTAATCCACGCTCGAGCAAGGAAAGAAAGAGTGCGACACGTACCCGGAAACAAGCATGGACGCCTCCGAGAGTGGTAGCAGGCTGTCTTGCCCGAACAAGGTGCGAGTTTCTCGTTCAATGCGGCGCCAAAAATCAGAAATGCAGCATGGGGCGCGAAGCTGTAGTTTTGGTGCCGATCACGTCGACAATTTGTTTCCTGGGGCGGTGCTGTTGCTGCTGAGCCCCTGCTGCTGTCGCCCCTCCTGTTCGGTGTGTGACAGAGATGGGTAGCTACTGGGAGGCCCTGAAAGGAAATTCTAGTCAAGATGGGTGTGAGCTTTCCCCCTGGGTGCTAACGGATAGCTTGACCAAGCCATCTGCTCCTCCTGGGCTGTATGTATGCACAGCAGTTGCAGGAATGTTGTCGGGGTGTCTTGGCGCCTGTGCTCGATGGTGAACCAGATGCATACAATATGTAGCGCCATTGGTGTTCTGCACTGCTGTGCGTTGCCCCTTTCATGCGCAGTCCTCAGATTTGTTTCGGGGATTCTTGTTCCAAATTCGTTGCTGGTCAACAAAGGAGTCAGCTCGCCGGAGAAGGTGTGCGCGCAAATCAGCAATAATCGTGCCGAGACTGGCCTGTCCATCACGACGTCGTTCCTTCTTTCCTACTTGCATCAAGGACATGTTCTTGCTTGACGTGCAAGTGTAGCCTAGTGCGAAGTTTTTGGTTCCAGTGCGGTGTTTCACGTCGCAACCGGAGCTTCAACACGGCGATCAACGGGAAGTCAAGTACAATTGTTGTTCACCTCTGCATCGTACACAGCAGTCAAACATAGACTAGTTATAGTCTACATGTTAAAGTTTAGTCTAGACGTTCAGAATACTCCTGTAGGTCACATCCCTGGACCATCTCCAAAGCTCGATTATTTTCCGCGGCGCAGAGGATATATCGACGAGACGGCTTGACACCAAAGCCGTGGCCGTTTTCGGCGCTGCCGCAACTTTTGCTGTGCAGAAATCGAGCTTTGAAATCTAGGGGGGGTGATATCTAGACTATGTATGTACAGCAGTGCAGGATATGCGAGCCACGGCCTACTACCAGCAGTAATGAGGGGAGAAAGCTACAGCAGTAGCTTACCGTAGTCTCCGCAGAGAGCCAAACTACTGCTGTACTTCGAACTGTAGCTACTACCAAGAGGGCAATAAGGCCGTGCACCATATTAGTCGGAGACACGACACCGGGTGCGATCATGTTATTATAAACTCGTGGGTTTTATATCGCACACCGGCGCCATCTCTTCGACCGGTGCCATCTCTCCTCGGTTCGGAAATGCAATCAAATCCATTCGTTTGGTTTTGTCAAGGCACCCCGGTGCCATCTCCCCGACCATTACCATAGTATTGATACCAGTGGAGGCATACCCACGGACACACACGGTATTTTGGGGGGTGGGGAGCAGGAAGACGGGTAGACGAAGTTGTGACACATCGCTATGTAGTTGACAATGCTATGATCAGGAGAACCACACATGTAGGTACCGTTGTTGCTGGTTGGAAGCACACCGTTAACGGCAACGTTGGCTGATACGTAGCGGCTTTCCATGCAGCGAATGGTTCTGTGTTTGATTTGAGTGTGGCTATGGCGTGACGACAACATAGGTCGCGGCTTGTACGTTGTATGTTTGGTTGAGTGCACGGTTGGCGAGTTCCGTACCAATCAAAAGTGAAAACAACTGGCATCCCGATTGAACCGCGACCATGCATATACGTACGTACATAAAGGAGTGGCGCTCCGCTGACACGGTGCCCACATGTAAAAGGTACGCACATGTACCTCATTCCGGCAGCTGAGAAGGACCTCAATCTTGGATTCGGGGGTTGCAGAGATGGCGCCGGTGCGATCTCACGGACCCCGGTGTGTAGATCGAACTATCAGCCGTTCTTGTATTTTTTTGCTCACCCCGTTGCCATCTCCCCGACCGGTGCCATCCCTCCGACCGGTTCATCTCTCCGACTATTACGGCAGTTTTGTACCAAGTCTAGCTGTAACGTGTCCAAGAATGTAGAGGGGTCTGCAATTGTTTTTTTCGCTCTAGCAACGCTCAGGCATGTAAAAAATGTTTTGCTCATCACCTGACCTGAAGGCTACTATACGCAGCCCGTTCTCTGTTCAGGCCCGCGACGAAAAAAGATATTAAAGATAGGTGGGGACGTGGGGGCAAAGCCAACCCACCACTTTTCATTATGCATTGTGCACGGTGTGCATATCACTAGATGCGTCCCATTGCGCACGGCCTGAACACCTAAAACACGGATCTAGTTCATATGTTGTCGAATGCCTGCTGCCTGTTTGGACTTCGGGTAAAGCTTCCAAAAGTTAAGAGACCGAGATCTTACGCCGGAAAACAGACGGGGGGCGAAGACAAACCCTTCCACGATTGCAGTTAATAAGTGGACTGTACATAGCATGCACCGCACCCGCCCACCACGAGACAAGCAATCACGAGTATCCTCGACCAAATGGTTCTCCCTCGTCTTTGGCTACTCTTCTTCTATGCGTGTCCCTTCTTCTTCACGCGACTCCCTCCCGTGCCTTGCTAAATGGCCGCCACTCTCTCCGGCGTCGTTGGAACTGCTGCTGCTGCTGCTGCTGCTGCTGCTGCTGCTGCTGCCTTCGCTCTCTGTGGCACGCTCGATGCGCGCACAGCTTCCCCCGGATGAGCTGGAGGGAATCCTCACCGGGATGCTCACGGAGAACGTGCAGGTGTTCGGGACGCAGTGGTGCCGCGGGGTGTTGTCGTCGCTCTACGGGGCGTATCGCTAAGAGGAGGGGGGGCGTCCTCTTCCTCTCATTGCTTTGCATGCCTTAGCGGTTAGACCGTTGACCACGCGTCCTCGACAGGACGGAGCATTGTTCCCACAGGCCCAATCACCGATGGCCAAACGGGGGGGGGGAGGGTGGGGTGTACTCATAGCCGTGCATGCCGTAGTCGTTAGACCATTGACCTCGCATCCCTACAAAGCCGGGACGGAGCACGCCGGGTTCTCACCGGACCAGGCTCTCACATCACCAAGCGCGAAGCGCCGTGAGATATTCGGCGAGTCGCATGAAGGGTGCGCTGCATCCTGCTAAGGGTGTTCGGCATCTTGTGCTTACTTCCTTGCGTACGGATGACAGCTGCGTATGAATTAATTTATTTTCTGGTGCTTTCACTTCCAGAGACAGTTGTAAGCACTGTGTAACTGCCTCGAGGGTGCTTGACCATTTCAACACAACGTGGTGCGATCATCCCCCTTGCGAGGAGTGAGGGTTCTCGACCCCGCACAACATGATCAACTCGACCAACATTATGGTTACCGCCAAAAAAAAAAACGGAGGTAAAAACCAACGGTAACCTGGTTGCCGAGTTCACGAAGTGAATTGGCTTGTTTTACAACATCGTTGCCAAGCGACGAAAACCCAACCCCGATGGCAAACACCGGGGGGGGCGGGGGGGGGGTACTCATAGTCGTGCATGCCGTAGTCGTTAGACCATTGACCTCGCATCCCTGGAAAACCGGGACAGATCACGCCGGCTTCTCCCCGGACCAGGCTCTAACAAGGGGGGGGGGCTAAACTGGGCCGGCCCACCACTGCTGTATTGAATGTACTTATTTTTTCTCGACCCCATCCGGGTCAGTAGGAAGAAGAGGTGCGAAGGGCTTAGTGTTTTGTCTGGCACGACGCCGGTTTCTAGGGCGCGTGTGTGCCTCCCAAGGCGACCCCATACCTTCCTGGCCCGCATATCATATGGGCTTCGTCTCTCTCTCGATCTTTCTCTCCCGCATCACTAAGTTTCCTGGATCGTTTCCGTTGCTTGTTGCGCTGCTGCTGCTTGTTTCTGTTTGTTGCTGGTGCTTGTTGCTGCCGCTTGTTGCTGCTGTTGCATTAGAGTTCGCTGCGAGACCTGCTGCAAGTGCAAGGGATGCTCAATGGATACCTTACCGAGGAACAAGCCGCGCACCTAAATGGTAGCTAACTATACATCGTCAACACTCGACACCCTTCCATGGTATATCATTTTCCACTCTCGCTACGCACGCAAAATCTGCTGCGCCCGCGGATGCTGCTGCCGCTCATGTTCGTCTTTGTTGGCATCGGCCGGGCTAACCGTCTGACCAATGACAACATGTCCGTCTCCGTGCGGCTGAAAACAACCGACGATTGTATAGGCCATGATCTGGGTTTGCGTGCGTTTTGGTAGTTGTTTTGTTTACAAACTGTTGGTGAATGCGCAGCTGCTGCGGGTGCTGCTGGCATGTACCCGAAAGCGGCCTACCTCACCACAAAAAGTGGCAACGATACCCCCTCGAGAATAAGCAAGTCCCAGGAAACACCTCCTTCTGAAGGCATGCAAATACCAGGACTGTATTCCAAGGTGGAGCATACGTATGCCTCGACCAAACCCCTGGCGTTTGACGATGTCCTCACTAGGAGAGTTAACGCTGCTTTGGGTCAGTGGCCGATGGCCCAAAGGCATACAACGAAAGATTCACCCCACTGGTGTGGGACAGCAAAACCCAAGAATGTTGAACAGCTTCTGGTCCATCTTTGTGAAACGTAGCCTGGGCCGGCGAGAACCCGGCGCATCGCTCTGTTCCGTCAACGCAAGGTCAATGGTCTAACGTCGACGGCATGCGTAACCATGAGTACACCCCCCCCCCGGAGCCGATGCCGATACCGAAATGATTTGTGTCCCCCTCGGGAATAATGCTCCGTCCTTTCGAGGACGAGTGGTCAATGGCCTAACCGCCACGGCATGTGACACATGACCCCCCCCCGCATACCGGCGCGCAGCAAGCAGAATTGCTCTCGAACTGGGGCCACGAAAGGCGAACATCACGGCCGGCATTAGCCCGCTGCTTGTGCTGGACGAGGTCATCGGGAGGCGATTGGCCATGCAGCTCGACCGCATGGGATATCGGGTGCGTTTTCTCGTCGAGAGGTGCTCTTGACGTGTAGCCTTTTCTTTTTCTTTTGTGCGTTCCTGTTCGTGCAGCATCTTTGCGGAGGGGGTCGTGCTCTGCTGTGGTGATGGTGGTGGTAATGTGGACCTTGTAGCAATTGTTGTTGCTGTTTTCGTCGGGTCATTGTCATCGCCGGTTGCTGCTGGCGCTAATAGGGGCGTGGGTAGTTTTATCCATGTGGCGCCTTCAAGCGTTCTCGTTTCACCACCCCCGTCACCAGTCAGCGGAGATGGAGGGTCTGCACGTCTGACGACACGCGTTTCTCTGTTCTATGGGTCCAGCCGGCCGAGCAAACAACGCCGACTCTTTTTTCCCGTCACAGGCTTCGCTAGCGACCGTGTGGATTAAGCATACTGGTAGGTGTGACACCTCCTTTTTATCTTCTTGCAATAATCACAACGAATCCATCCATCTGTTTCCAGAGTGCAGGATAACCCATAGCGCACTACCTTTGTTTCTCCACAGAACAAAGAGTCCAGGATAAATTAGCGATGAATCCATAGCGTTAGCGGAAGCACTTCCTGTGTTTCCACGATTCCCATTATTTTTTTTTCGTCTCTTTATGCACGAGCAGGGACGGAGGCTCGTGATCTATGAGGCCAGCGGGGGTAGGCACGAGCTGTCAATACGGGAGGCCATCTCGCTCCTCCCGCTTTGCCGAGAGCTGGACATACCGTCGACCGTGTGAGTGAAGAGCGATGAGTGTGTGTCGGCCCTCGCTCTGTGTGTCGTGGGCCTGCTTGCGGTTTGGGTTAATTTTGAATAGAAAACGAGAGTGTGGTTGGCGCTAACTCTGTGTTATGTCGGCATGCGTGCGGAGGCAAACAAAAAAAAGTAGGAACGGCCTTGTGGGTCGTCACAGCAGTTTCGTGCGATGTCTGCTTCAGGTGGTGCGCCTAGTTGGTACTTTCATTGGCCGAGTCAGATGGTGTTTGCGGTTGCTCTTTGCTGCGTTTTCTTATTTTGGTGTTGTGGGTGGTTTGCTTGTGTCATTGTTGCTTCCTCAAAACGGGCCCGGAGATCAGAAGCGTCAAATTCGGGTCGAGGCTCAGGTACTAATTCATCGCCACTGTCGAGCACAGGTTATTGTAGCGTCGAGGATCCACCCCTGAGCTGTGTTTCTTAAACCTTTTTTCTGTTTTTTTTTTTGGTGAAATACTGAGCCTGTTTTTATGCTCGCGGGAATCAAGCTGTTCCTGAGTCGAAGCTACACAACAAAAGCTGTTATGGCACGTTTTCCTCCTATAGATGGGGGAGGCGAGGATAACGCGCTTGCCCGTGCGTCCAGTTTTGGGCGAGGCTCGGGTTCTTCACTCCTCCGGTGGGCTAAGAGTGACCGCTGTATAGGTTTTCGTGTAATTTCTCGAGCGGGCTCACAAATGGTGGTCAAGCTCTTAGTTTTATGTCGAGCATGAAGTTCTCGACCACCAAGGTGCTTTGCGCGGGCACCATCTGTAGCTGCTGTGCTCAGGCGGCAGTGGCCGACGGGGAGGAATGCACGGACGTTTATCCTTGGCCCAAGCGGCCTCGGCCTTTTAGCTGTAGTTGCTGTGGTCCGACGGCAGTGATCGACGAGGACGAAAATACGGATGTTTTTATCTCTGGTCCGCGCCGCCCCCCCGACCTTTTAGCTCTAGTTATTGCGGTCAAACGGCAGTGGTCGACGGGGACGTTTTGTCTCTGATCCTAGCCGCCACAGCGAACTCTCTGACGACTCCGTGAACCATTAGAGAAACGGTTAACGGTTGGAGAAACGGTAGCCCCGTTTTGCCGATGAGATTAACCGTTGGAGAAACGGTAAACCATTGGAGGAACGATAGCCTCGTTTTGAAGATTCGGTTAACCATCGGAGAAACGATAGCCTCGTTTTGACGGTTCGGTTAACCATTGGAGAAACGACATCCTCGTTTCGACGACTCGGTTATCCATTGGAGAAACGATATCCTCGTTTTGACGATTCGGTTCACCGTTGGAGGAACGACAACCTGTCGTCTGGTGTTGCTTGCAGGGATGAGGGTTCCTCAACGGGATACATGTAGCGAGGACGGCGGGTAAGAGATTCGAGGTACATTATCACAAACAAGTGCCCGAAGTTCTTGTATGTTCTGCACATTCCAACAAACAAGTGTGAAGTTTTTTTTCTGCCGTGTACATTCTAACAACCAAGAACCCAAGTATAATTGTTTTACCTTCTATCGGAGGTGCAATGTAGCAAGCAACTGCGATTCCTCCTCTATTCTGCTGTACTTCCTAACAAAAACAAGTGCCAAATAGTCATTGCATGCATGCCTGCTATCGTACTGGAATCACCGGTATCGAGCGAGTAATGTGGATGGTTGTTGACCCCCGGGGCTAATTTAGCTGGGGGGGGCATGGGGAATGGAAGGGATTGAAATCGAGCCCACTACTGTCCCGCGGTATATATTTTTGCGGTTGATGTGCACGACACCGAGTGGTTCTTGAGGCAGCAAGCCCTGACTGATTAGCCTTGAGGTTTATCCACGCTTACTGGCAAGACGTGTTTCTATTCTTTTCTCGGGAATCTCGGTCCGGATGTGAGCTTAAACGCTCAGCCGCCTTTCTGGGAGCTAGTTCAGTATAAGAAAGTTTTCCGAGATAGCGTGAGCTTCGACGCAATTGGGTGCTGGAATCTCTCTCAAACTATTTCTCCGTGCCGCAGGACGCTTACCGGAATCGAGGTAGCACCGGGGACAATGCAACCGTCGCTCTCGACGTTCCCGATCATCGAGCTGCACTGCTTGCCGTCGATGGGGCAAAGGCCGCCTCCCATCGAGGCGATAAGTCCTACGATCGACACTGGAAAGTGAGTACATCTGTTGTCCTCCCTTGAGTAGGTTTTCCGCTTATGTCGTTGTCGTTGTTGTTGTTGTTGTTGTTGTTGTTGTTTCTTGTCTTCACAAGTTAAGCGTTCCGATCTCTCATGGACCTCCCTCTGCCTGTCCGCTCATGGCTGTTCTTAAACGAGAATATCCTTTCAGGCGAGAGAATTATCCTGTAAACCTGTACCCTGCGGGGGGGTCATTATGCGTCCGAAGATATTATTGGCGTCCTCATGGCGAGCAGTACCCTAAGGCTTGGTGGCCTCAGTGAGGGGGCGAGTGCTGTATGTAAATGACGTGCAACGCTCGGGACCCCCCGCTGTACCGTGCTTCCAACCTCCCGCCGTAGCGGTAGGGGAACCTTTGCTTTTTGGTCCCGGCTGCGTTGACGCGTTTGTCACCTTTATATCGTCAATATGATCGGATAACCAAGGCGCCAGCAACTACTGAGAACACCCCTACCCAAGCACCAAGACGCCTAGGAAATGAGCTGAAAAGGCGGGATTTGATATCGATAGGCTAGGAAAAACGTTTTTGAGCCACCTTTGGCAGAGTAGGAAGGAACGATTTTCCATCGGTGACAAGTGTTGTGGAAACAATGCTCCGTCCTCTCGAGGACGCGTGGTCAATGGTCCAACCGCTAAAAGGCATCCATAACATAGAAGCCCCCCCCCCCCCCCCCCCCCCCCCCCCCCCCCCCCCCCCCCCCCC